GGGTGCTACTGCTCTCAGCTAGACAGGTTTCTAATGAGGTTTCTAATGACTTTCCCCCTAATATTTCTGTATTACTCTAGTCCATTTCTCATGAGATTTAAGGCAGTTTTTTTGTGTGTGTTTTTTTATCTCTAGTATTAGATCGAATCCAGGAACTTATGCAGGCTAGGCAGGTGCTCTACCACTCAGCTACATCCCCAGCTCGAGAGCAGCTATGGTTTAATGGTAAAAACTCAAGATTAGAGAGTCCAGCGTAAAATCTGAACTGCCAGGTTTTGATTACAGAAGCATGAGCCAGAGTCTTCACTTCTTTCTGAGTTATTTTCCCTTTGTAAATGGAAAGTATATATGTGAACTCACTTTAGAACTGGAACACAGAAAAGCAATACTGTGTTAAAGAACTTTGTTTAACCAGAAGTAACTCTTTTGGGAATTTGTCAACCACAGAGCTGACGTGCCTGCTCTTTACCCAGGTACTGGGAGACGAGAGAGCAGCGCGCCCCCGCTCTGAAGGGCAAGCTGGCTCAGAAGGCTGACCAGGAGCAGCAGGACCCTCTGGAGTTCCTCCAGTCTGATGAGGAGGAGGATGAGAAGAGTGGCGCCCAGCGCCGGCTGCAGGAGCAGCGGGAGCGCCTGCACGGGGCCCTGGCGCTCATCGAGCTGGCCAACCTGACTGGGGCACCGCTCCGCCAGTAGCCTGCACAGACTCTCCACTGTACAGAAGTACTGCCCATGTACTTACAAAGTAGATCCTTGGGCATAAGCTAAGCACCTTATTTGCTTATCATAGGCTGCTATTCTGTAGAAATTCATGAAGAATGTCATTGCCCCAGAGTATGGGGTGAGAGAGAATTGCACTTTTTTTATATGGAAATGGATTGGATGTAAAGTTTAAAATATTTTGTAAATATGGACTGCACAGTACAGGGTAGAAAACTACATATTGTGGGAAGCTAGATTTTGCAAGTTTAATGCATTCTTTGGAAGCAGTTCTCACAGGAAGCACTTTCTGAATAAGACACTTGTGAAAAAAAACAGAATGGTACAAATAGCCAAAGAAGGTTGAAAGAGACTATTTATAAGATCATTTTTAACAATGTATATTAATATGTTTAACAATACTGTAAACACTGAAGCAAGAAAGTATGAAATATGTAAGATATATATTTTAAATTACAAAATAGCGTGTCCAATAAGGCTTGAGAAATGGGAAGCTGACTATTTGGGATGATGTTCTAAGTTATGGACTTGGAAGAAAACAGATATTTGAGGATCTTGGTAAGATGCACAGTAGTTCATAATTTTCAAAATTGGAGTAAAATCAGTCTTATTCTTATCTTTCTGGGGCTTTCTAACTCACTATAATGTTTAAGTTTGAGAAGCACTTGTCATTCCTAGCATGTTAACTGGGGAACTTTTGCACATTTCACATTTGCTGAAATTGAGTGATTAATCTTGCAAAGTCTAGGTAACATGGTAACTGGTAATTTTTTTTTATATACAATGGGCCCTGTAATGAGATTTGGCACTTGGATTTTTATTAATAAAAGGGACATCTACAGGGTTGTTTTGTAGTGAAATGTTTTAGATCTTTTGTTAGCAAACACTAAATTTTAGTTGTACTGCTTTTTAGGATTATTAGCAAGTGGAAGCCTCCGTATTTATATTTTCAGTGCATAAAGCCACCTTCTTGCTTTACTTCAGAATAACATGCCAAGCTATTTTGTGTTCACTAAATTTAGCTATGAGTTAAACACTGCAGAAAATATTAGCTACTCAAATATGTAGGCTTCTGGACTAGTTTTAAACTGCAAGTGTGTTAACTTGTGTGGTGGTTTTTTCCAAATAGATGAAGTTATTGAACACCACTTTATGTACTGAAGCATGAACAGGAAAATCAGGAGCTGAGCAGTCCACCTCCTTTACATAGGCAAAAGCCTCCATGGTTTTAGCTTTTGTTTTGGGCTGAACTAAAGGACATGCAGAGCATGGTAATTTACAGATTGCTTAATTGGAGTGAACCTCAAGAGTAGTAGAGGGGAAAGATAGGCTCTTCAGCACCTTTTTTTTCTTGAGTTGAAGTGCAGTTCACACCTTATCCAGAAGGTAGGCTTCTTTATCCAAACATCCCAGTGTGTGGCAGTGCCCAGGTCACAGCCTTGGGAAGGGGAGGTCTGTAAATGTCTTGAGGAGGAGCGGAAGTGTGAAAGAAAAATGATAGTTAACAATAATGTGTATGATGAGGACATACTTTAAAAATGTAATTCCTCTGTACAGTAAATCACAAATCTTTAGGGATTTTTTTTTTTTTTGTAATAAGAGAATTTATATTTGTAATGGTCTAAGAAGTTTGTTTGTAATCTGGTATATAGAATTTTAACTTGGAGCACTTACAAGCATGGTCAGAGACCATAGCATCTGAATTTTCTTGGTTTAGGTTTCAACATTTACTCTAGAATTTTTCCTTTCAAATATCATTTATATGAACTGTAAAGCAACACTCATTAGTCTTGAAATTTAAAATCTGATAAACTTATCTGAGAAGGAAAGGCAGTACAAATTTAAAAAATACAAATACTTGCCAACTGACAGATGATAAAATTTAAGGGCTTCAAAAAAAGTAGGGGTTTTTATTTGTTTGTTTCTCCAGTCAGCTTTTGTCAACCACAGTAGTTATATTCACAAACATTTTTTATTTGTATAATTGGAATAGCTTAAGAAATTATTACAGCTCTAGAAACAGTTCAGAGATTTTTTTTGATATAAGCTATATCCTTGGAAATACATTGGCATCTAAAATTTGAGGTGTGTTAAGACTGCTTTTTGTTTTAAAAATGTGGTTTACATTCAAACTTTTGAAGTGTTTTATGCTTCACGTGGCTAAGTTGTAGTTTGGCAGATTTAACAGCATATGAATACACATGCTGTAATTTTAAAAGATGCTTTGAATAAAATTTTATTTTAACTTAAAGCTTAAAGAGTATATCCTTGAAGTTTTTATATTTTTTCCTCATAAATATAACCACAATATAAAAGTCTTAAAAACTAGAAACATGATCGACAGCTCTACATTCTTCCATCGAAAGTGTTTGGGTGTTTGGGCTGGGGATGTGGCTCAAGCGGTAGCGCGCTCGCCTGGCATGCGTGCGGCCCGGGTTCGATCCTCAGCACCACATACAAAGATGTTGTGTCTGCCGAAAACTAAAAATAAACCTTAAAAAATTCTCTCTCTCTCTCTCTTTAAAAAAAAAAAAAGAAAAGAAAGTGTTTGGGTGCATTTTATATTACATTCCAGTTCCGTCCCAGGTATCTTTTTTGCATAGCTGTAACAATTGTTCTGTCATTTATACAGTTAGGCTTCGAGAATTTAACTGAAAATTGTTAGGTCTCCTCTGCCACTGAACTACACATCTCCAGTCCTTTTCTTTATCTTGAGATAGTCTCCCCAGGTTGCTGAGGCTGGCCTTGAACTTGCCACAGCCTCAGCCTCCGGAGTCGCTGGGATCACAGGCCCGTACCACGGCTTTGTGTGTGTGGTGCTGGGGATTGAACCTAGGGCCTTCCTTGTGCATGCGAGGCAAGCGCTCTACCAACTGAGCTGCTAATCTTTAGCATTTCCAAAAATCGAAACTTTCACAAGTTAACTAGAACAGGTAGGCTGGCTAGCATGACCAGTTCTGGGAGGATTTCCTTCAGTTAACTAGAACCTCTGATGTGCAATCGCTTTCCTCTTGGGAAAGAAACAGCCCCAGGTGGGGACAGAACCCACCACAAAGTGCGTGCGCAGAGGCAGAAGTGCGCTGAGCCTTCATCTCCCTTCTCCCTACCACCTGCCAAAGGCCCAAGCCGGTACCCACAAACACCTGCCCGCCAGGCACTGAAGCAGCGTTCGTGAGGGCCCTGAACCGGAAACAAGTGTCCGGCGAAGGGAACGACCTGCGACCAGCCTCCCGGGTGGCGTCCACTTCGCCGACCTCTAGAAGGGCGTCCCTTTACGTGGGGTTCTAGAAAAGCCAGTGACCCACGGAATGGGAACGAAGTGGGGGCTTCCCCGGCCCAGGCAGGGGCGCGACGCTGTGAGCCGCGCACGCGGGGCCGGCTGCCTGCCGATGCACGCGAGCCGCGCCCCACAGGTGCTGCAGGAGAGGCCCCGGAGCCGGGGCTCACGGAGCGCTGCCCCCGCGCCGCCGGGGCCGGGCCGGGCAGCGCGGGGGCTCCCCGGGCGGGCGAGGCCGGCGCCCGGCTGGGCCTGGCGGGCGGGACGCGCCGCGGCTCCTCCTGTTCCTGCCGCGCCCTCCCCTTGGCGCCGCCGGCCGGGCGGGCCGAGCCGGGTCCGCGGGCCATGACGGCGGGTGGCCGGGCCGAGGGCGCCGAGCCCGACGCGGCGCGGCCGGCCTCGCGGGGCGCCCGGGTGCTGTCGGCGCTCTTCTACGGCGCCTGCTCCTTCCTCCTGGTGCTGCTCAACAAGGCGCTGCTGACCACCTACGGGTGAGGCCGGCGGGTCCGCGAGGCGCCGCGGCGGGCGGGCGGGGGGACCCGCGCAGGGACCGGCCTTCTCCGGCCCGAGGTCGCCGCCCAGCGGAGGGGCCCGCTCGCCGTCTCGGGGACGGGCCCGCCCGGTGCTGCGGGAGCCCGGGAGCCCGGGAGCCCGGGAGCGGAGGCCCGCGCTGCCCACAGCCGCGAGCAGGTCTGCGGGAGCCGGGAGACCCGTCCCTGTCCCTGTCCCTGTCCCTGTCGCCGTCCTGAGATGGGCGCCCAGTGCCGACCTCTCCTTCCCGCCAGCACCTTCCCGGAAACAGGGAAACCATCAGAAGTCGGCGTGATGTCACTGTTTGGATTAGTGTGAAGTAAACCCGCACATCTGTGCTCCCTGAGCCGCGTGACTCGGCTGGCGGCGGCCGCTGTCCCAAAGGGCTGTGGACTTAAACCTCGGACAAGGCCAGTCAGCACTTCGCTCAGATGACTACCAAGGTTAATGACGTCCCGGGGCTTGGCACGACTTGTCACAAGTGGAGTCTGTAAACTGTCCTGTGCTTTGAGAATTTAAGGTTTAAAAAAAAAAAAAGAACAATGCCTAAAGAGACCTAAGAGCCCCTTGGGCTTTCTTGTTTTAAAGTTGGGAAAACCAAGGCTCCTGAGCTCCCAGGTTGTGCCTCCAACAGATATTTACTGAGCAATATCTGAAAGTAAACAAGCAGCTTTAAGAATAAACCAGGCAATTTCAGACATGACCCCAGAGGTTGGTGCTGGCATGTCCCGAGCAGAGGGGGCAGCAAGTGCAGTGTGCAGAAGTGGCCATGAACTTGATGGGCTGCTGCGGGAGACAGGAGAAGGCCACCAGGGCCAGGAGTGAGGGACTGCCGCCAGGTCTGTTGAGTAATGTTAACGTGCACCTGCACCAGGCTCCTGGCCAGGCCCCGGAGTGGAAGTGAACCTCAGGTGCAGGTCGCTAATCTCCCATGGAGCTGACAGATCCCACTGGACCCAAAATAAACTGTACATTTCTAAGATGTCAGATGTGGCCAGGGCTCTGGAGAAGAAAATACTGCAGAAAGTAAGTTAGGGAGTGTGGGGGAATTTGTGGTTTTGAGTGTGTATGGAGGCTTCATAGGTAGGTGTGATTGATGAAATCATTGGCTGCTGGGGCTCTAGAGGCGACCTTTAGCCTAGACCTCAGTGGAGTGAGGGAGCCACTCTGGGAGATGGGGGAAGAACATCTGAGAGGGATGGTTAGGCAGACAGTGTAGGACGATGCCTGTGTGAGATGGGAGGCCGGAGGAGTGTCAAGCAGAGCAGTCTTAGTCACTCAGGCTGCCACATTCACACCAGATATTGGGGGACCAGGGTGAAGAGGGAGATAGTGATAGTTTTAATTTTAGTCTAAATATAGGTGGGGGTTCCTTTAACCTTGGAATGACATGGTATAATTTGTGTGATAAAAAGGGTTACAGGCTGCAGGGGGTGATCCCCTGATCCCCTGGTCAGGGGAGGAGGCTGTTGCAGTGTCCTAGGTGAACGTCCAGGGGACAGCTGACTGGAGGTGAGGGATACAGGTAGGGTACCTTTGGGTGACCCTATGGCTGTCTTTTATTTCGGTGGTCTTGTGATACAGCCCTGGCCTAATTGTAGATATTCTTTACCAGGCCTTGCGCTACTTAGCTTTCTGTCTCTGTGACAAAATACTTGAGACTAAATAATTTGGAGGAGGAAAGATTTATTTTGGCTCACAGTTTCAGTCCACGGTCACCTGGCCATTGTTTCTGGGCCTGTGGTGAGCAGAGCATCATGGTGAGGAGCCTGTTGTGGACAAAGCTGCCCACCTCATGCTGACCAGGAAGCAGAGAGTTTCCTTTATGACAGAGCCTTTCCCCAAACCCATTGCATCTGACCCTGTGAATGGATGAATCCACGGATGGGCTCAGAGCCCTCCTGACCCACCAGGCACCTCTCAAAGACCCCACCTCTGAACACTGCTGCACTGGGGACTGGGCCTCCAACACACGAGCTTCTGGGGAACATTTCAGATCCACATCACAACAGGCTGTGAGCTGCAGGTCGCTCCCTGGTGTCCATAGAAAACACCAACCCTGCCTCAAAGAAATTGAAACGAACCTAAACCTAGATCATTTCACACACAGAGTGCAAGCTAAGGAAGGATAAAAGAAATCTTCACATCTACAAGATTAAAACAAGAGAATGTTGTTGACAGGCTTCATTGAGAGTGGTCAGGACTTAGGTCAAAGGAAGGCTGGGAATAAGGCCCCACCTGTGTCCTGGCCTGAGTGGGTGCTGACTGGCCAAGGGGTTAGTGCTTCTAGAAACACAGTCCTCTTATTGGAAGGAGGGACCTGTAAACCCTGGTCAACGCTTTGAAGACGCAGGACAACATTCCACCAGAAAGAACCGTGATGAGACATTCATGCTGCAGCCTTTTCACACTTTAAAATATTGAGAGCCAGGGCTCGGACTCTTGCTCAGGGGTGGAGCATTTGCCCAGCATGCATTAAGACCCCAGATTCCATTCCCAGCACTACAAAAAAAAGCAAATGGAGTTTTTGCCCCAGGAAGGCGAGAGCCCTTGTAACCTTTGTAAATAAACATTTTTCACATTTCTGTAATGCAATATGTTGTACAGTGGGAGAGCTCTGTTCAAACAACATAGTTCTCCTCTTTCAAAATGCACGAGACACATGTTTTTGAGGGGAGGAAGGCTGTGGTGATTTGTTTCAACAATCAATGGTGGAAATCTGATCCGAGCATGAGCTATTTGAGGAGAGAATCTTGTGTAGACGACAGAAGGAAGGACCTTTTGCCAGTCCCCTCATTCACAGGGTCGTGGGAATGTAGTTTTGGGGATTTCCCCCCCCCCTTCATTTTGGGCAGATAGATTCCGATTAGGGTACAGAACTGATGGGTGTCCCTAGTTGTTAGTTTTAGTTCATTGTCATGCTAGATTTACCTGGCTGGAAAAAGTGGCTTTGGAAGGATGTGAACTATGAGACCCTGATGGGACTGGGGAAAAAGCAAGGTTACCTGAGAGTCTGTGGCCAGTGGTTATGCTCATGCTTCTTTGCTATCAGGTTCTTGAGATCATGCAGGTGATCTGTAATTGCAGTTGTGGTTTGGTTCCCCCCCCCCCTTTTTAATGCTATTGTCTGTGCTGTGAGAGAATTCACTAATGATACTTACTAAAAAATATGGAACTTAATTATACTCAGTCTGTTAGGGTTTAGGTATGTGTCCCCCAGCAACTCATGTGTGAGACCTTGCAAGAAGGTTTAGAAGTGAAATAGTTGGGGTATGAATCCTTACCCCACCATGAGTTAATCTGAGTGGTATACTGGGTGGTACTTGTAGGCAGGTAGGGGTGGCTGGAGGAAGTGGGTCCCTGGGGGCTTGCCTTTGGGGTATATATTTTGTCAAATTGTTGAGCAGAGCTCTCTCTCTGCTTCCTGGTGCCATGTCCCTCCTCCACACTCTTCCCCCATGATGTTCTGCTCCTGAGGAATGGAGTTGGCCATCAATGGACTGAGACCTCTGAAAACACAAGCCCCCCGATAAACTTTTCTTCTTCTAAAATTGTTCTTATTAGGCCTTTTAGTCACAGCAGTGAAAAAGCTGACTAAAACACAGCCCAACAAATATTTGCTCAGTATTTGCTGGGTTTACTTCATGATTCACCGCAGGGCTTTGATCCCCTTTAACACAGTGGCTTCCAAACCCGTTTGGTTGCCTGATTGACTTGGAGAGGTTTTTATAAAACTTACTGAATGGGAGTCTCCAGCTGTGGGAATTTACAGGGCTATATTACAAAGCAAAAACCAACACCTGATTTTCTCTTAATTGGGTAAAAACCTGGTTCTTTCCTGGAGACGCTGCCCACTTCTGCCCACCCAGGAGAAGCTGGATCTCTGACACCCAGAGGGGGAGCCGCCATTGGAGGTGGGTCCTCTTGGCTCCCCATGGCTCATGGTCTGTTGAGACTGGATTTTCCACTGCCTTTCGTCCCCTCTGTGATGGCTCCTGCGTGCCTTCTGTGACCCATCCCGGAGTCTTCTTCCTCTCCACCTGGACCCTGGTCGGCCTTCCCCAGACTTCAGAATCCATGTGCTGACCCATTCTGAACTCATTCCCAGCACTTCCCGCAGCTGCTCCCAGAACCCTGCCTCTCCAGGACATCTGCTGCAGGTGTCCCCTAGGCCCTGACCCTGCTGTGCCTCCTCCTGCCTCATTTCTTGCCCTATCTGTCTCTCCTGGTGTCACTTCTCTGGTCCCTCTGGGAACTGCTCTTGGATGGGCGAGGGAGCGTCCCTTCTCTCTGTCCGTGGATGTCCTTGTCACCTACCCTCCTCCTTTAAAGCTGGAGTGGCTCTCAGTGTCCTGGGTGGAAAGCCACATCTGTGTTGGTAGGTTCCACTTTAGATTGTGATCACAGCCCTCGATGGGACATCCTGGTGACCTGCAGATTGCTTTTCTTGTCTTAGGATGCTCTTTCATGCGTCCTGATTCATGCTGAAACCCACCATGTGCCACCCCTCCTCCCTTCTCCTCCAACCCTTCATTGAGAAAATAGAAACTGGCAGATGAGACCCCTCCGTCTCCTTCCTGCTGAAGTGTGGCCTTATCTTCTGTGGGAGGAAGGTGGAGCTCCTTCCTCTGCTCCTCCCTTTCTCCTCTGTGCTGGTGGCTTCCCTTCTACCAGCTTGAAAACGATGCTCCTCACACAGGCATCCTCCTGACCCCACGCCTGCCCTCTGTCTCCCTACCTTTCAGAGTCCTGTCCACTCCATTTCCACTTCATCCACTCCTACAAGAATTCAGCTCAAAAATTTGAGATAGCTGGATGCGGTGGTACGTGTCCATGACCCCAGCAGGGCAGAGGCAGATAATAATGATCCATATTCCCACAATCTGGAATAAATATATTGAAATATCTCTCTTCTGTCTTTTTTTTTTCTTTTTTTTAAAGGAAAGCCATTCTGGGCCTGGGGAGTGTAGCTCAGTGGTAGAGCACTTCCCTAGCATGCTGAAGGTCCTGGGTTCCATCCCTGTATTGAAGGACAAAAAAGTCATTCTGTTGTCATCTTTGTAAGAAATTAAAAGAAATATTAAGTTGAAATTTTAAAAATGTATTATGATTAATATTAGGCAATAATTTCAGACATCTTTTTAGATGGATGAATGTACATATAGATACACAGATGGAGACAGGGACACATAGATTGCATCTGTGTGTGTGTGTGTGTGTGTGTGTGTGTGGTGTCTGATGATGGAACCGCAGTCCTCTTGCATGCTAGGCAAGCACTATACTGCTGACCTGTAGCCCCAGCCCTTGAATTTCTTTTGATAAGAATGGATCTATGTTACAGATGTTACTTGTTTGCTCATTTATTTCTAAATTGTTTTCTTTAATCCAAAAAAGAATTGGAAAAAGTCTGCCTTTATTTAATTATTTAGCTGTTTGTACGATGACCAGGTCTTTGCCTTTTGTTATGAGAAGTTTCAAGCATTCGGAGACATAGAAAGCAAAGTACAATGGGCTCCCACATGCATGGCCCTAGAGCAAAGTACTCCCTTCCCCAAGACCACTGAAGGCAGGTTGCAGGCCTGGGGATGTGTACTGTCCTCTCCTAACCCATGGATGCTCTACACTGTACCATTTTCACAAATACAACACTGTCCTAAAATAATCTAACACCTCATCTATAATCATCCTATTTGTCTCTAGATGTTTCCTTGGCTTTCTTTTTTTGGGGGGGTACCAGGGATTGAACTCAGGGGCGCTTGACCACTGAGCCACATCCCCAGCCGTATTTTGTATTATATTTAGAGACGGCGTCTCACTGAGTTACTAAGCACCTCGCCATTGCTGAGGCTGGCTTTGAACTTGCGAAACTCCTGCCTCAGCCTCTCAAGCCGCTGGGATATCAGGCATGCACCACTGTACCCAACTTGCTTTCATGGATTTTTAAAAACCACTTGAATTACATTCAGGCTTATGCAAAGCATGTAGTTATGTCTTTTCAGTTTATTTTAATCTGAAAAGGTCTCCAATACCACCCCGTTTTTCATATGGTCTTGGAAAAAAATCATGTCAGTTGTTTGGTAAAATATCTCACATTATGGAATATGAATTATGTTCTGAAGTCTCGGTCCACTTACTTTTCTTCCATCTTCTGAAAGTTAAGTTGGGGGCTTGATTTCATTCCGTGCAAACATTTTTGGCAGGAGGACTTCATGGCTAACACTGTGGACTTCAGATCACATTCCTATCAGAGATTGGTCCACCACTGTTCATGTGGGTTGTATTTGAAGGATTATCTCAGTTGGGGATCTCAAGTTGCACTTGTGAAATTTTCTTTTCTTTTCCTTCTTTCTTTTTTTAGAGGAAGAAAAATTTATTTTGGCTCATGGTTTCAGAGATTTAGTCTGTGGTTGGTCAAGTCCGTACCTCTGGGCCCAAAGTGATAAAGAATGTCACAGCAGAAGGGCATAGTGAAGGAAAGCAGCTCAGGACATGGCAATGGAAAGGAGAGAGAGAGAGAGAGAGAGAGAGAGACTGACCCCCCCTAGGACACGCCCCCGTGACCTACCTCCTCTATTCACTTCCCACTTGCCTACAGTTACCACCCAGTTAATCCATATCAATGCATTAGTCCATTGATTAGGTTACAACTCACAATCCAACCATTCTACCTTTGAACAATTCTTGCATTGCCTCACATAGAAGCTTTTGGGGATACCTCATACCTAAGTCAAAATATTCTGTCCTAGCCCCCAAAGGCATATGCCAATCTCACTATTCAAAATATATTTGATCAATTTCCAAGAATCCCTATAGTCTTAAGAGTTTCAGCATTACCCAAAAGTCTAAGTCCAAAATCTCCTTGAGGCTCAAGGCAAACTCTCAGTATGAGCCCCTCTAAAAATCAAAAGCAAGTTACACATATCCAATATGTGACAGAGTAAAAGTTTCCACTCCAATAAGGGAGCAATAAGGGCACAGAGAGGAAGGATGGAACCAAAACAAGATCCAACACCTCCCCAGGCAGACACGTCCATGTCCGGTGTCTGGGGCACCTGGCACCATGATATTCTATCCCAAGGACTTGTGTAGTTCTGCCCCATGGCTTTTCTGGTCGCAGCCTGCATGGCCTCTCTCTTGGCTTGTTTCTGCTCCATTCCTTCAGCTTTTCTCAGCAGATATGCTGACGTGCCACATTACGGGCATCTCTTGATCTCGGGGGTCTCCACTGTGACTTTGACTTCCTCCTTACTTTGTCAAGCATTGCTTGCTCAGGGGCAGCCTGAAGGACCCTGACTGCCCTGCACTTTGCCTGGTCTGATCTCTAACTTCAGCATCTTGCAATCCTGCAGACCCAGCACCGCATGGTTGATGTGAAGGTCTGCTACCATCTCAAGAAGTAGCCAAGTCTCCTGGGACCATGGCTATAGGTAGCAGCCCGTGTGCAAGCAAGTTCCCCAATGGTCTCTTCTCAATGGAATTTTTACTTTTACACTCTTGAGCCTGACATGTGTGTGATCTTGTCAATTCTTGAGATGCCCTCAAGCCACTTTTCCTATTATCTCTGGATAAAGTATTTAGTATCTCTCTAGTGGCTGTAATGTCCTTAACAACCACAACTTCCCTAGCCCCAGATTTACTCTCACTTTTCTGGATAAACTGCAAGTTTTTCAAATCTTTCTGTTCTGCTTTCTGCTCTTAATTATTATCGCAGTAAACTTATCTAAAAACTGCCAACACTATTCAGGCCACTACCTGACTGCTGTGCTGCCTTGAAATTTCTTCCACCAGATTAAGTAGTCTGTCACCTTTAAATTCAGCCTCACAGAAAGTCTCAGGACATGGGCAAAATGTTGACAATTTTTTTTGCCTGAATATGACATGAATGACCCCTAGTCCAATTTCCAATAGAATCTTTCTCTTCTGAAATCTCATGAGCTCAGTCTTTACTGTCCACAGCCGTATCAACACTCTGGTCTTTTGAGTTTACACCAGAATTGCCCATTAAACTCCACTTACAACAATCTATAACTTTTCCAGCTTGCAGCTCTCAACTTTTCAAAATTGCTCTCACAAATTCCAAAAAGCTTCAAAAGCTCTGAACCACATGATCAGGTGAGTCACAGCAACTACCCCACTTCTCCATACCAATTTCCATTTTAATCATTTGTTACTATTGTTGTTGCTGTGACCAAAAGACTTGCCAAGAACAAACTAGTTTATTTGGGGCTCCTAGTTTTAAAGGTCTCAGTCTGTAATTGGCTGACTCCATTGTTCTGGGCTTGAGATGAGGCAGAATATCATGATGGAAGGAAATGACAGAGGAAAGGAGCTCAGGACATGGCCCCCAGGAGAGAGCTCATGTGTGAAATTTCACTTTAACTGCATTCAATGGAGAAATGAGAAATTGCAGTTCAATTCAAAGAACTGTTGATTTTCAAATATTTTTATCCCTCAGGGTTTGTAGGGGATTGATTCAGGACTCTCAAGCATACCTTATTCCCAGATGCTCAGGTCCTTACATAAAATGTGGCAGTCTTTGCATATAACCTATACATATCTTCCTGTATACTTTAAACCACCTTTAGATTACTTAGAATATCTAATACAATGTACATGCTGTGTAAATAGTTGTTATACTGTATCATTTAGGGAATAATGACAAGGAAAAAGTTTGTGCATATTTAGTACAGATTCATTTTTTTCCTGAAAATATTTCATCCACAAAATATTTGATGGGGAAATCACAAGTATGGATTGTTGAGTACACTTTCCCAGATTTTCTGAAATTCCTTGTGCTTTTAGACATGAAGATTCAGTATGTATTTTTCCCTTCATGATAAGAAGACTAATTTCTCATTTACCTTTGAATTATCTCCTCTCTTACTGAGTTCTTTGCACCAGGCCCAGCAATCAGCCCTGGCTGGCCGTGTCCACCTGTCTCCCCTGCCTGCTAACCTTGCAGAGTGTGTCTTTTTCCCTGGCTGGCACTGTGACCCTGCGGGAGCTGGCCGTTGTTTCCAACAGTGGCTGTCGGGTTCCTGGTGTGGTGTAGGCATTTCTTCAAGTGGCAGTCTAGCTGATTGGTCCTCACCTGGATTCCTGAGGTCTCGGTGCCCTCTTTTCATCTCCTTTGGCTGTGTTATGTTTCAGGGTTGCGCTCTTGTTTACTTATTCTTACCAGGGGGTCTGTAGCCTGAGGGGACTAGGAAGCGTCCTCATCCCCAGGCTGAGTTTTGTCCTAGCTGGGCTCTTTGTCCATCTTCTCCGTTTTGTTGTTTTTACTGTTTTACCGCCTGCTACCCTTGCTTTGTGTTGCGGGCTTGTCCTCTGGGATGCTAGGAGTGTCCTGGAGGATGTTCCTGGGACACAGGCACAGGCAGAGGGAGAAGCTGGGTGGTGGCCTAGTCACAGGAAGGCCTGATCTCAGGGGCTCTGTGCTGGGATGGCTCTGCAGGGTTGTCTGGAATTGGGGTGAGGCCCTGGCCTTTGGATCCCTGCATAGACTGTGAAAGAACGATCAAGGCTTGCCATCGGGAAAATGCCTGTTTATTGAGGAACAGCTCTGCACATTTATAGAGCGGGGGTGGGGGGGTGGTCTGACAATTGGCATGGGGTGCTTTTTGATTGGTGGGTAAGGATCATGTGAGCCAGCAGAGCTCACCATTGGATGGTTCTTCTTGAATGGGGAAGTTAATCTTTGGAGCTGGGGTGACTCCCAACAGACTGGCCGTTGGAACACAGGTCTCTTGGGGGTGGGAGGGGTGGGGTGCTTTTGACAGGACTCTTCTTCACCATCCAAGGAATGAGTGCTTCTGTCTGAAAGGGGATACCTGGTGGCACTACCAGCTTCCGCTGGAGTTCACTTTATTCTCACGGAGGTTCTGTTCAGCCATTCCTTCCTTTTTCTCTGATGGGGTACATTGGTGCTCTGCTCTTTTCTGACCCTGCCTGATACAGGTGTGTTTTCTCTTTGAACAGATTGAGGACCAAGTGTTTGGGGAGATCTTAGCTTTCTTACTGCTTTGAGAGAATGTCTGGGAGCCAGAGAAAGTGGATGGGCCAGTTCAGGTAGTGAGCTGCCCTTTAAGTATGGAGTGAGGTAGGGACCAGGCTCAACCCCAAAATGTCACACAATCTCATTTATTATAAATGAATCCTGACAGCTAGTAGAGTCACACCTACAATTTTGTTCTTTTTCAAGATGGAAAAAGATTGTCTTTGCTGTTTGCCTGTCTATTCAGTTTCAGGATCAACCTGTCAGTTTCCTGTTGGTGTTTTGACTGAGGTTGCATTGATTCTATAGACCAGTTGGTAGGTAACGGACCTCACTATGATGTTGAGTTTCCAACCTGTGACCTTTACTTAGATCTTTAGTTTTTTTAAAAAATGTCATCTTAATGCTTCTCTCTGTAGAGATCTTCTTGCAATCAGTGCCCTTTCTAAGGTTATTTTTATTAATTTGAATAATTTATCATCAGACTATTCTAGATTTTCTACATAAACAGTAATATCGGCCGTTTTACATACAAGGATAAAAGAAAGTTTCCAAGTTGAACAATGATCAGTTAATAAAGGAAAGAAAAATGAACAAATGAGAAGTGAATAAATCTGGTATTGTTTCCATTGTCTAAGGTTTTTTAGTAATTCTTGTCACTCTGTTTTCTATATTGTCTTCACATTTTTCTGATGTTAAACTGATTTGTTATTCTGTGTTTCTTGTAGTTTCCCATCACCAATTGTTCTTGGAATTGGTCAGGTAAGTGGAAAAAATAAATCGGCCTCTTAACAGGTCATTGGTGTACATGATGATACTTTAAGTGCTTTTGCTTAAGATTATGGTTTAACAATTTATATAGCTGGTGTGAGGCCAGAGGATCATGGGATTATTGGTGAGACTACATGAAATATTGACGCAAATTTTCTTTTTTTCCCCTACAGCATTGGTTCTTATATATATGGTCCCTGCATCAGTGTCATGTAGGAAACTTTAAAAGAAAACCCTTTTTTTTTTTTTTTTGTACCAGGGATTGAACCCAGGGGGACATAACCACTGAGCTACATTCCCAGCCCCCCCCCTTTTTTTTTAAAGAGGGAGGGGGGAAGAGAGAGAGAGAGAGAGAGAGAGAATTTTTTTTTTAATATTTATTTTTTTTAGTTTTTCGGTGACACAACATCTTTGTTTGTATGTGGTGCTGAGGATCAAACCCGGGCCGCACGCATGCCAGGCAAGCACGCTACGGCTTGAGCCACATCCCCAGCCCCCTCAGCCCTTTTTATATTTTATTTTGAAACACGGTCTTGGTAGTTGCTTAAGGCCTCCCCAAGTCACCTAGGGCCTTGCTAAGTTGCTGAGGCAGGCTTTGCACTTGTGATCCTCCTGTCTCAGCCTCCCAAGCTGCATGCCTGGCAGAAACTTTTTTTAAATATAAATTATTAACATCTATTAATTGTACCAACTTGTGGGATTCACTAGAATTTTTTGTATATGCATATATCATGCATTGATCATTTTATTTATTCTATAATTAGGAATAATTGTATTTGTGGGAAAAGCAACTCCTGATTTTTAAGTTCATAATTGGATTTGATTACTCTAAAGCAGGGGCTGGAAGACTCCAGGCCTCCAAGATCTGGTGGGTGTCAAATGAGAGTGGTCTGGGGCCCGGGAGGGACAGGGGAAATACTCGTCTAGCCTGTAGTGGGCATGGGATACCAGGTGGAGTCGCTTTTTGGGGTTGGGGGGTAGAGGAGATGTGGTGGGGCCACCATAACCTATTCTCAGACTTTGGGGGGTTTTTTAAGAGAAAGAATGAATTTGAATTTTTAATCACATCTCCAAACTCACAAATGCTGGCAATGGATTCAAATTTTTATTAACTATGGGCCAAACAAAACACATTTACGATTTTCTTCCTCCAGTGTGTGCTTTTTCCTCTCAAGTGCCAGCATGGCCTTTGATGAGCTTTCAAGCTAGCCTGTTTGGCTCTTTTTAAAATTCCCCATTAATGTGACTTTGTGGCCTGTAACTATTTTGGCCATATTTTCAGTAGACAAGCAACAACAGGCAACAAAGATTGATTGTTTGTTTTGATTTTGCTTGAATTTAAAGGGGGAAACAATCCTTAAAATTATGGAAATTATATTTGTTAATTAAATTTTTGATTGTGAATCAGGAAAGCCTGTCACTTATATGAATAAACATTATTCCAGTTAAACGTCTTGCTAATTAGTAACTGTGCAGCATAATTTTAGGGATAAAAATTATCATAAGAAAATGATATATTTCCTTACAGCCAAAAACATTTGACTAAAATATAAGTTGTAGAAAAAAAAGCACTTTAAAAAAGATCAGTGCATATGTAATAGAGCCTCGGATAATCCCAAAATTAAAAAAAAATCCAGTGTTTTTTAGCCCATTAGTTTATGCTCAAGTATGTATGCCTTTCTGATTTGCAGCTTGTTATGGGAAGAGACGATTAGACCTGGAAAAAAAAAAAGATATGTGGGCCTGAGGGTGCACGCCCGTAATCCCAGCTTTTGGGGAGGCTGTAGTCAGAGGATTACAAGTTAGAGGCCAGCTGGGGCAATTTAGCAATTCTCAAAATGAAAAATCGGAAGGGCTGGGATGGAGCTTGGCAAGCTCAGGGCCCTGGTTCAACCTCCAGTACCACCACCATAAAAAAGTCCGAATTGCATATTTAACTGTTAATTTCTTCAAGAAATATGAAGTGAAACAAAAATATGAAGTTTAATTATAATTCAAGGTGTGTGTGTGAGTTACACAAATCTATGAAAGTATTATTTATAAACTTCTTAGGATCAAGATTTTGGGGCTGGGGTTGTACCTCAGGGGCAGAGCGCTTGCCTTGCACATGTGAGGCCCTGGGTTCGATCCTCGAGACCACCTAAAATAAATAAATAAAATAAAGGTATTGTTTCCATCTACAACAACAAAAAATTTAAAAAAACCTTTGAATTACAGTCATGTTAAAGCATTTCTTAAATTTTTGCAACCTAATATAAAGAAAATGGAATGTTTTAAAATTTGCATAGAAAAATGATAATGAAAGTTTTATAAATTTTTTTCTTTTATCTCAAAATAACAATATGGAAGATTTACAATTTCATGTGTTCCATATTTACAGGATGTGAATGAGATATTTTTGCTATGCCAGATATTTTTGCTATGCCTGAGGAGAAAAAGAAACCCATTAAATTTTTTTTTCTGTTCATTTGTTCTAAGTTTTTCTTCTGTTATAGAAAAAATAGGACTTTTTAAAAAAAGTGTGTTTATGTGTTTAACTCTCCTAAATTTTTTTTTTCCTCTCTCCTGAACTGGTCCATATTGGGGGAAGGTGCATGTGCATAGATATGGGAAATGTGGTCCAGGATCAATGTGTGGCCTCCCCAACTGTGGTCAGTGTCAGGGACAACATTCCCTTTCTCCACTATCACTGTTCCTGGGTCTCTGAGAGAGAGAGTGTGTGTGTGTGTGTGTGTCTACTCCATGTTGGACATTTTGCCTGTAGTCTGGTGGAATCTGTCTAGTAGCAAGACAAGAAGTTTTAGCATTCTGTGAAATGGTTATTTATTTACTTATTCTTCCTGGAATCTGGAGAGTGAATTTTTTGTGGCTTTTTTTTTTATGTTTTCTTCTGATAATGCCATTTTACCTCAAGCAGTCTTCCCAAGAGTTTTGCTAAAGTTTCTCTTCTTTCCTTTAGATGGCAGCCACCATAATGATATTGTATGTGTCCAAGCTAAATAAAATAATTCATTTCCCTGATTTTGACAAGAAAATTCCTGTAAAGGTAGGTGATGGAAGCAGTGGTGGAAGATGTGAAAATAATTTAGAATTATAAATTGACCTGAGAGAGCAGCCTGGTTCTATGCACCCTGTTTAGACCAGGTGGAAAGGTCTTAATAAAGATATGCACCCCTCAGTTGTCCATTTAGGTAATGCAATAACAGTTAAAGTATGTGTTTAGCACCTAACATTAATACTATGTATCTTCCCAAATGACCAAATTCTAAACCAGGAATTGGCAAACTCTTTTGGTTATGGGCTGGATCATCTCTATTGCAACTACAGGCAGCTCTAGATAATATGCAAATGAGTCGGTGCAGTGGTGTTCCAATAAAACTTTATTTACACGTACAAGAGGCTGGACTTGGCCCTTGGTTCTAGTCTACTGTTCCCTGTTCTCAGTTGTAGACTCTGTTGATAGAAACTCTGAGTGGAATGGAGAATACAGCTGGATAAATGTTGAAAAAAAAAAAAGGAGATTTTTTTTTCCATGTGCAATTAGAATCATGAGGTCCACTATTTCTTCTGGGATTATGAAATAAACACATTTTAATTGAACAGTTGCAGAGTGCCAGACATTAGGTGGGCATTTAGTTCCACAGGCAATTTCATATGTCAGGTGACATTAAATGATGATGACGGCATTTGGCTTTGAGGAGATATAATCAGATAGCAGTCCCTTGAGGGTGGATGGTTTACTCCTGTGTCTCTAAGGCCTGAGACAAGCCGGCATCCTTGGTACTGGGTTAGTCACCAGATAGCACTTGATTATGACAGCGGTGATCAGGGGTTTCTGCAAAAGGAGAAAAATAAAATGTTAAGGCACAGGATGTAGATCAGCCTAACCAGCATGAACGAAACCAGAATGTCGTTGGCTTGCTTGTACTTATTCTATGATGCAGTATAAAGCTTAAACATTTTCAGAATTAAAAGTTGTTTTCATACATGTACTATACATAGAGAATAAGTCATCATGCTTGAATAGATAATTGAGTGAATAATTACCCTTGAGAATGATTACTTAGCTCATGAAGTGGAACTGCAAATTACCCACTATTCTGAATGTTATAAGTAATAACTGTGTTAGTGTGTGTGTGTGTGTGTGTGTGAGAGAGAGAGAGAGAGTATGTGAGTGTGTGTTTGTGAATGTGTGTGTGTATGTTGTTAGGGATGGAGCCATACTGTAGCTTTTGGAAAGTGTTGATATCTGGGAGAGCAAGGCTTCCCATTCTGTTCTTGGCCCTTTGCATTTCTAGATGATATAGGAAACACACATCTTTAAAAATATATTATTTGGCAAGTTAGAGGTACATACTATATAATAACTTTTCTATACTCTTTTGGAATTGAAAAATGTGGAATATTAATCATGATTTATTGTAGCTTCCTTTGGGTTTTTATGTAAACAACAAAAATTACAGTTTTATTTCAACCTTCTAATTTTTATTTCTTTTAATTGCCTTACTATATAGTATTTGTTGATAGGAATGGTAACAATGGGCTTCTTTGATCTCAAAGGGAAAGCTTTTACTAGTTCATCAATAAGTGGGGTTTTTGGTAGATACTTTCCACTTATTTTGACTTTATAACTTAGTGATTCAAACAATAGTCATTGTATTATCTCTCATAGTAATTAAAGAGTTTCAGAAAGGCTCAATTGGGCAGTTCTGGTTTAGGGCTCCCATATAGTTGTAGACAGACAGTGGCTAGAACTGAATTAATTAAGGAATTGGTTAGTGCAGCTGGAGGCTGGTCATTCAATCTCTCTTACTGTTATCTCCTAGTTTCACCTTATGGTCACCAGTGTAGGCTAGTTGGGCTTCCTTACAAGATGGTGGGCAAGGGGTTAAGAATGTTTATCTGGAGGCCACAGGCTTTAAGGATGTCAGTTCTGGCAAGCAAGACCCCAACTGCATTGCCTTTTATGATCTGTTCTCATAGGTCACATATCATCTGTATTAGTCATAACAGTTACACCCAAATTTAAGAAGGGACATAAGCTCTACCTCTGGATGGAAGGGATTCCATTGCAACTATAAATCAATTTGAGCAGGATTGACATCTTTAAAGTATTGAATCTGGCTCACATTTTGAAGGGAAGTGGGGGGACATGGAGGTAAAAATGATGGTGGGATGAGATGGACATCATTACCCTAAGTATATGTATGAAGACACAAATGGTGTGAATATACTTCATATACAACCAGAGATATGAAAAATTGTGCTCTATATGTATAATATGAATTGTAATGTATTCTGCTGTCATATATAACAAATTAGAATAAAAAAGAAAGTACTGTAAAATAGCTTTCAACTATTAAAAATGTAATTATTTTTATATGAGGAAAAAAAAAAAGAAGAGGACATGGGATGGGAGAGACTATGCTGTCACCTGTGAGAGTGTGGACTTGACTTTTTTCTTGGCTTTTCTGTCAGGGTTTTTAGAATAGTTTTCATTTTTTTTTTTAGATTTTGAGTCTATATCACTAGATGCTTAAAAGTTTAAATTGGTAAATCTTCCTGGTGAATAAAAGTGTTTAATAATATGAAGTGGGTGGAACTTTTCTGTTCCTGCTCTTTTAGTGTAGTTACCTTGGAATTTGCAATATATTTTTTATCTCCTCTTTTTTAAAAAATAAATATCTATTTATATCTACCCATATATTTACTGCTTCCTTTTCTATTCTTTGTGCATCTCACACTTTGCTTTTTCTTACTGATCGAGTGCTTCCTGTAGAATTTACGTTAGTGATGATCTGCTCCGGTGGATGACCATGGTTTTCTTTGGTCTGTGTTAAATGGGTTAAGTTTGGCCTGAAGCTGCTTCTGTATATATTTTAAGTTTGGCCTAAAGATTTCTTTGTCCATAATGACCTATAAACTAACTTGGTGTGTAAGTGGACTGTAACCTCTCTTGTAATAAGGAGCTGAGTCTCAACCAATTACAAGTGGCCAAGGGTTCAGAGCATCCAAACAGGACAGCTGGGAGCTGTAACCAGTTGAACTGTAACCAACTGGCCCGTCGCTGGGCCTCACTTCCGTCTTCCACATGGGGCCTGCGCCACGGTGGGGCCCAGCATTCTGAACTGTCTTTGGTCTAGATGGCTTCCCAATTCTAAAATTGAAATAAAGCCAATTAAGAGCTACAAAACTAGATTTTTTGTAATTCTTTTAACATCTGGAGAAGTCTAAATTTCACCTTTGGTTTTGAAAGGGGAAGAATTCCAGCATGGCTCAGCAGTGGAGATAGAATTCTGCCGCCCTCTGGCTGACCTTGTGTCTCTGGGTTCTGTTTTTCCTTTTATCTTTGGCCAAGGGGTTCCTCTCTGTCTTTCCAGCTCTTTTATGAAGATTTTAAATCATTTAATCTAACATTTTAAAAAAATTGTTCTCAGCATAAATAATCTAACTTACTGTTACCAGAACCTAGAAGTCAGTATTGTTTTTATTTTGAATGATAAATGGAAATGAGATTCACAGGTCCTTTTTGATACCCAGATCCTCTAGATTGTGATACTGCTAGCTTTGTTCTTGTTGAGTAATTTATAGGCTGTTAGCCAGAATTTTAACTAGTAAAGGGGAACTTTCTAGATCCATGATCCCATCTTCCTTATATTCTCTTTCTTGGTCAAATCTGCTCATAAAATTTTATAACTATTTTTGGTAGATGGCAGTATTGCAAAACCTTTCAAAGTATATCTTATCTGAGTGGCGTGCTTAAGGTCCTATTAGCAGAAAAAGCAATGTTGGCCTCACCTTGATAGCTGTGGACTATTAGATCAGTTAATAAGTGCTGAGTTATCATAGGATCTTATGAAAGGATACTTTCTTTTCCGGGTACAAGACTAGATCTTACATTCTGTTGGTTTCTCCATTATATTTGATATAGTATTTCTCTTGACAATCGGAAAATAGCTCAAGATCTCAGTGTGTGGTGAACCCATTTCAAATACAAAGGTTACACTGTTTGACCTTAGTAGATGTTTAATCACTGTAGACCTTTAAAACAGATAAAGTAACTACAAAGTAATGTGGCCAGCATGCACCTTGAAAGGGTCACTAACCTGGTGACCTTTCAGTAAGAGACAGGAGGCTTTGCCTTGGTCCAGAGGAGTAAATATATGCACAGATAGAATCGGCACACCTTATCTCTGGCCTTTGCTAACCACAAAGTACAGATAGCCATCTTCAACTCACCAGTCCAGTCTCTCTGCAAGAGAGTTCCTTGTTCACATCCTTTAGGTAAATATTCTGTTAAAATGGGCAAGGTCAAGGGTTCAGTTTCTTTACCTTGTGCCCCCTGGCCCACCCCGGATAATGATGTCACTGCTCTCCTATTTACTGAGAAACCCCTGACTATATTTTAGATTCTGGAAAACCCACTATTGAGCAGACAGAGGAACCCACATGATTTGCCTGCTGCTCAAAATGACTGTTACCATTTTTATATGCAGAGGAAGATATCTGTTGAATTTCTAACCAAATTTTCTTTCTGTCTCTTTCTAATTTTATTTGAAGCTATTCCCTTTGCCTCTTCTCTACGTCGGAAACCACCTCAGTGGATTATCAGGCACAAGTAAATTAAGGTACGGAGAGGGAGACGGGTGTTGGGGTGCTGACTCACCCATCTTCTTCCAGTGGTTGCAAAACTAAGTTTGATTTTGCAGGAAGCCCTGGTTCCCTTGGGCCACATAGAGAAGGCAATGCTACTTAGTAGTTTAAGAAAGGAAGCTGTAGTTTTGAGTTGAATTGGCCAATGTTTTGGGGAATGTTTTTTTTTAATATTTACTTTTTAGTTTTTTTTTTAGGTGGACACAGTATCTTTATTTTATTTTTATGTGGTGCTGAGGATTGAACCCAGTGCCTCGTGCATGCCAGGCGAGCACGCTACCACTTGAGCCACAACCCCAGCCCCTTTGGGAATGTTAAAAAGCTTATATTCATATATTTACATTTCAGTGTAGAACATGAGCTCTGTAGACATCAAGCTAAAGAAGCCCTGATTTATCTGGGTAGATTTGTTTATGTGAATATGGTTGAATATAACTTTTGGTTTCATATAAAAGCAGGAACGTTTTGTCGGGTTTGGTCGGGGAATAAACAACAGACACATTCAGTTGTGCACCGTCTGCTTCTCACATTGCCACTGCATTGATTTCAGCATCCCTTGATTACTTTTGCTAAGAAATCCAATGTAAAAGCTTCGCATGGTGGTGCACACCTGTAATCCCAGCAGCTCAGGAGGCTGAGGCAGGAGGATGGTGAGTTCAAAGCCAGCCTCAGCAATTTAGCAAGGCTCTAAGCAATTTAGCGAGACTCTGTTCAAAATAAAAAAAAAAAAAAAAAAAAAAAAAAAGAAAAGAAAGGGTTGGAGATGTGGCTCAGTGGTTAAGTGCTCCTGGGTTCAATCCTGGGTACCAAAACAACAACAAAAAAAAGCACTGTATAAAAAGTAAAAATGAGGGCTGGGAAAGACAAAGCCATCTGTCAACCAGAAAATGTGGTGTGACATGTGTAGTCTCGTTGAACACACATGAAGGAAGACCCAAGGACAAGAAGAGAAGTCTGTGCAAAGGGTGACAGAAACAGAGGGACATTTGTGCAGGAGGGTGGGAGGAAGGTGGGAGGAGGCCACTGGTGGTGCTGCCTTCACTCCCAGGTGGAGCAGCCCCTGTGAATGTCTCTGGGGATTTGTGCTTCCTTCTGGGGACAGAGAAGTCACCTTGCCCTAATTGCCTCACATCTTAGCTTCCTGTGCTCCAGTCTCTGGTTGCTGATGATTTGCAAAAGTCTATCCTTTTCTGTAGCCTTCCTTCCTTCCTTCCTTCCTTCCTTCCTTCCCAGGGATAGAACTCAGGGCCACTCAACCACTGGGCCACATCTGCAGCCCTTTTTTGTATTTTATTTAGAGACGGGGGTCTCATTGAGTTACTTAGGCCTCACTAATTTGCTGAGGCTGGTTTTGAATTTATGATCCTCCTGTCTCAGCCTCCCAAGCTGATGGGATTATAGGCATTGCCACCATCCCAGCCCTCTTTTATTTTTTATTTTCAGACAGGTTCTCACTGAATTGCTTAGAGCCTTGCTAAGTTGCTGAGGCTGGCTTTGAACTCGCAATCCTCCTGCCTCAGCCTCCTGAGCTGCAAAAGTTACATTTTAAGGGTAGAAATCAGTCGCATTAAATATATTCACAGGGTTGTGCAGTTGCAGCTGTGATCTGTTCCCAGAACGTTTTCATCATCCCACGACGAAACTCTGTTGATTAAACTGTAATTCCTTCTTTCCCTCATCCCCTACCTCCTGGTTATCTCTGTTCTACTTTCTGCCTCTGAATTTGCTGTCCTTCGCTGGGATCACACAATATCTGTCCTTTTCTGGTGGGCTTATTCACACAGAGTGACGTTCCCAAGGTTCATCCATGTGGTAGCACATATCGGAATTTCATTCCTTCTGAAGACTGAATAATCCTCCACTGCATATACATCTGTGTCATTTCAGCATCCATTTGTGAAAGCTTTTGATTTTGACGAGGTCCAATTTATCTATTTTTTTCTTTTTTCTGTTACCAATTTATCAATGTGTTCTTTTGTTGATTGTGATTTTAATGTTGTGTTTGAGAAGATTTTGCTTGACCTGAGGTCATAAAGACTTGCTATGCTTTCTTCTAAGAGTCTTATAGTTTTAGTTCCTATATTCAGGCCCTTGGTACATTTTGAAGTAATTTTTAGTGTATAGTGGGATTTAGGACTCGGATTTTGTTTTTTTTGCACCTGGGTGTGTGTTTGTCCCAGCCAACCTTTCAGACCTTTGCTGAAAGCACTGATCTTTCCCTTTCTGTTGTATTATCTTGGTACAATTTCCACTGTATTGAAAATTGGTTGGCCACAGTTATAGTGATTTGTTTCTTGACCCTTGATTCTGTTTCACTGATAACATATGTAAACCAGTGACCTTGGAAGCAGTGCTGATGGCTGGGTCATCACAGCCCGTGGTGAGTTTTGAAATGGGAAGGTGCCTTGTTCCTGTTCCACTTCCGGGGTCCCTTGAGCTTCCATGTGAATTTTGGAATCTGTTTGTCCGTTTCTCCAAAGGAAAAGGAAAAGGAAGCCAGTGTTGAGTCTGCATGTGAAAGGGGCATGAAATTCTTTCATCTGTTTGCTTTTATTACTTAGCATGATTTATTAAAGGTCGACAAGAGAATTCAGGTTGATATATTTAAGTTGAAAAATGAATGGGCTTAATTAAAAGTTGAAAACCTGTTTAAAGCAACAAGGAGAACCAGCCCTGGGAGTCTGAAGCCTGCCTGTCCCTCTTCCCAACAGCCTGCCCATGTTCACGGTGCTCAGGAAGTTCACCATTCCGCTCACCCTGCTCCTGGAGACCATGGTCCTCGGGTGAGTGACTTCTGTTTTTCCTGCGCTCCTCCCCTATGTTCCCTGTCCCCTGCAGTATTTTTACCCGGCAGATTCTAGCCATCCAGTCCTCTTTCCAAGTGGCTGGCTTAAGTCTTTCATTTTACATTAGACAAATAACACCATGTTCATGGTAGAAAATCATAAAGGAAAAATCGGTCACCCTCAAACAGTTAGAGGTCCGGGGAGGCAGAGGGAATAGAGAGGGAAGGAGGTCCATGGAGGACGGCGGGAGGATATCAGGGAAACCAGTTCTGATGCAGTGACTGTGATAGAACATCAGAATAAATTAATTTTTATAACATTGGTATAAAAGTTTCTCATGGGGATATTCAGGCCGGCATTCCAAAGGGCAATTTTTAATTTTGTTGTGAAGGTTATCTGAATGAAATTTAGTGGATGATTCAGTGTGTTAAGCCTTAATATTGAATTTTATCTTGACCTTCGAATGCTCCATCCACGTCCCTGCAAACCGGACCTAGCAGCAGGCTCGCCCCTATTTTGTCCCAGCCACTCCCTTGTGACCAGAGATACCAGTTTATAATTAAATTAAGAAAACGGTTTAAGAAATAATTTTGGTCTGAATCATAAACACTTTAGAACTTTTTCTACATGAAGCGTTGTCAGATTTGGGGGGTAAATCGGCTAATACCTCGGTTCAGTTTGTTTTAAAAATAGAGTCCACATTCACCCCGCCCCCTCCTCTCCTGCTTATTCATTTTCCACAGGAAACAGTACTCGTTGGGCATCGTGGCCAGTGTCTTTGCCATCATCCTGGGGGCTTTCATAGCAGCTGGGTAAGAGTCTTTCTTTGTGCCTCTGACAATAGGCCCAGCCCCTCCTCAGTTTTTCATTTTCCACCTGGCTGCAGTTGAATTGACGAGCTCGGAGGCAAAGCTGTTGAGGTCAGTGGGATCCCCATGCCGTCCTGTGAGTGTTCCTGTGAGTGCTCCTGTGAGTGTCCGTCGGGCTCCCTCAGTGGCCAGAATATTTCTGAGAATAAATACGGCAAGCTTCGCTGGACATTAGCATTAGCACAGCCATTTTCTCTTTCACAGAAAAGTAGTGAACTACTTACTTTTATTACCAAATGTCTTCAAATGAAAAATTTTACTTGCACCATTCTTAGGTATTTGATGAAAAATGACAGATTTGGGTTGGGGGCGGCGGTGTAGCTCAGTGGTCGAGCGTGTGCTTAGCCTGCATGAGGCCCTGGATTCAATTTCCAGCATCAGAAAAATCCCAGAACAGACTTATGAAGCCCTTGAGTGTTGTTTTATCATCCTTAGAGGTATCTAAGGGAGAGAGCTGTCATGAAGTGTTTTGGGCTGTGGGCCAACACTGTTGGAGTATGACGACCCCAGGGGTAGAATGCTGTCATTAAACATGTTGTATGTTTGGGACACAAGCCAATGGTTACATTAATTGTTAATATGCAAAAGCAGGAATGAGGAGTCTAAATTTGCATTTGCAAGTATATAGAATATTCAGATTCCTGTCTTTTTTGGAGGGGGGCGTGGGCACTGGGGATTGAACTCAGGAGCACCTGACCACTGAACCCCCTCCCCAGCCCTATTTTGTATTTTATTTAGAGAAAGGGTCTCACTGAGTTGCTTAGCACCTTGCTTTTGCTGAGGCTGGCTTTGAACTCACAATCCTCCTGCCTCAGCCTCCCGAGTCACTGGAATTACAGGTGTGTGCCTGGCTTCCTGTCTTTTATAGTATGGTGCCTGATGTATGCCTGCAGTTAAATTTCCTGGGTTCTAAGCTGTTTTTCATTTCTCTGGGCATCAGTTTCCTCATGTGCAAAGTAAAGGTGATAATAGAAAATGTACCTACTTGAATGAAGGAAAGAAAAGGTTGAAAGAATTTTAATTAAACGCATTTTGCAAACTCCTTTAGACCCAAGGGCTCCAGATCATTCATTGCATGTTGAACAAGGGAGTGGGCTGCAGAGCCAGGAGGCCTGGGACCGCGTCTCCTCACTCTCTTCCTGCATTGATAGAAGGCTCTGAAACCGCCTCTTGCTTCAGTTACTTCTGTAAAACGGAGGTTAGAATAACAGCCACCTCGTGAGGTCATAGTGAGAATTTAGTGACATAATTCACACAGAACTTTGACCAAGTTCATGGCCAAGTTCAACACAAACGTATTGAGCATGTTCTGTACACCAGGCACCCTTCTAAGTGTTGGGAATTCAACAGTTAAGTAGACAAGAATCCTTGCCTTCAAGAAGCTTCCAGTCCAGTTGTACAGGTAGACAATAAGCACAAGAAATGGGTGAGAAGACACAGTAGGCTAGCTGGTGACAGGTATTATTAGCAGCAACACGAGGGTTAGTTATGGTCGTTACTGTGAAGACTGAGGTTTATTATTTGTGTTTTCCTTTGTACCTTCTGCTTCCCCGGTCCCAGCTATGGGCTGAGGTTGGGCCTGGCAGGCCAGTGCCCTGGTTTTGGGCTCTGCTCCATGCCCCTTGCGTTAGGGCCACCGCAGACAATAAGCAGCAGCTCTCAGAGCCTGTCTCACCATGGAGACTTTGTTCAAATGACATCGTGTGAGTGAAGGGCCCTGGGAAGGGGGCTCTGTGGAAGCAGCCTTCTCTGCAGGGCCACCGGGTCACCCTCTCTTCTGGGTTCCTCAGGTTTACTTTGAAAACCATTGACTTGGAGCAAGTTGAAGACTTTTACATAAAATGGTTTACAACACAGAAGGGATCCCCTCTTGGTGGGGACATTCACCGTGCTGAGCTGCAGGCCAGCTTTGGTCCTCTCACTGAAGTTAGTTCATCCCAATGCAGTGACTGTGGATCCAGCTTAGTTGGATGAGCTGGTTAATGCTGCTAAAACAAAAAGCCCCCACGTCTCGCTGGTTTAACTCACCATGTGTCTTCTGGGTAGACTGCATGAAAACCAGCTGCAGTCAGTGCTTGTGGGAGGGCTGTGCTCCTGTAGCTCAGGGACCTGGCCCGAAGAATCCCTGCTTTGGAGGGGACTTCCTCAGTCCTCTAGGCAGGAAAAGAGCATGTGGGGAATTGTGCACTGGCTCACAAGCTTTTGTCCAGAAGTTCTAAGTGCTACCTCCTCCCCCTACGTTTTTTTTTTTTCAAAGCAAGTCACATGGCCAGAAAAAAATTGAAGTAGAATCATCTTCAGATGACTCTAAATGACAACATGAATCTGCTCTGATTATATAGCAAGTAAATCACTCACACACTTCTGTGCACTTAGTACTGGCCTAAATGACTGATGAGTAAGACACCAGAGACCAGGTCACCCTGCCGGGAGTGGGAACATGGCTGTTGGCAACGCCTGGCTCCCCAACATGTGGAGGCTGAGGACTCTGGGAATTTCCTTCAGCCTCTCCAGGCCTCTTCTCTCCATGCCTCTAGACTCCTGACTTTTCCTTTTTATCCAGCTGTTAAAAGAAACACTTTAGACAAATTTAACAGAGTGTATCGGAGCAAAGGAACAGTCTGGAAATTCTATGACTCTCAGAAAACCAGCTTAGACTCAGAGAGCTCCGTCCAGCAGTGCACCAGGCAGCCTTATGGGCGGAAAATGGAAGTGAGGCACAGAGGCAGCTGGACTGAGCCTTCGCCTTATCCGAGCACAGTCTCAAGAGTTGACTGCCTGCAACTGACTCAAGCCTGGTGATGGGCTGAGACTCAGCTGTGTGTTGTCAAAGTTAGGCTTTCCGTCAGTTAGTCTAGGTGCTAAGCTAGGTTGTGGTGCATCATGTGAGGACTCTCCTTTGGAGACGTCCTCAAGCCAAAGTCAGGTTAGTTCCTTTGTGCAGTGCTGGGGATGGACCCCGGGGACGCATGCGCACTAAGCAGGTGCTCCACCATTGAGCTGCACCCCAGCCTCCGTTTGTTTTAGCACAACTCTGCTGTGTTGTGGAGCGCAGACGCTTCTCCATGAGTTAAGCGTGAGTGGGCAAGCCATGCTAAAGACCCTTACTTTGAGGAAAATCCCCTTATTGTGATGGAACTGGAGAATTCTGATGTATGATAATAACCTGAAAGCGATTTGCATTCTCACAAAGATATTTGTAGGTGATAATACCAGTGGAAGTCTCAAGCAAAAATATGATTTAATTGGCATGCAGATTTTGATGCAGTTTTGGCCTCTCTATTGTGTTCCCTTTGGTTGGAGATGATCTTATTTCGACGTTGCGTTGCGGGGGGTGGGGGGGTGTCCAAATACGCCACCACACAATATGCCTCCTTGGGATAAAGGTTATTTTGAGCTAAAGGCAACTGAGAATCAACGGAGGCCTCAGAGTCAGGCATAAATGCCTTTGTGGAGGTGGCCCCTTCTGCACCGGAGAGAGGAGGAGGGCAGCTCTTCTCACTGAAGAGAGCCCAGGCAGCACCGAGATGAATCCACATCGTTAAACCCCAACAACCTTTCTCCTCCGTTATTCCCCTTGCATATTTCCTAGTCACTTCCCACAATTTATTTGTCCCTTGATGTCCAACCCTCTATCCTTTGTTAAAATGTCATGTGAGTCCCCCTGTCAAGCTGTTTCTTTGGGTTTTACTTTTCTGTGAACTCCTGTTCATGTAAAATACGAATAAGGTTTGTGTTCCTTTTTTCCTGTTCATCTGTCTTTTGTCAGTTAGTCAGACCCAGCTGGCTGTGGTGGCCACACCTCTAGGAGACTGAGGCAGGAGGATTGCTTGAGGCTAGGAGTGGGAGGCTAGCTGGTCAACTTAGTGAAATCCTGTCAATGCATTCATCCATTCGTCCATACATACATATGTTAATTCACACATTCACACATTCATTCATTCACAGGCCCCCCAGGTACTGAACCTAACAGGGTAGAGGGGAAAGTTTATCTTCCCTGGAAGCTGATAGTTATGAGTTCTGACATGGGTCTGGTATTGTCTATAAGGATGAAGTGCAAGTGTGTGAATCCCGTCATATATCAATTACTGTTCTCTAACACCTATGTCATATCCCCCAAACATTTTTATATTGGCATTATTTTTTTTAAAAAAAGATTGTTTCAAAACCACAGGAATAGGATGGCTTGGGAAGAGTTTTATAGACCTTGGGGGTGTCTGCCTTGCCCTTTAGATGGACAGGGCACTGTTCGGCAGCAGATGGACGTATCACGTCCTCATATGGCCCTCTTACCCAGTCATTCCCCTGCTGTCCCACAAGGGCTGCACCCTGGAGATGGCCTTGTTCACAGCAATAAGCAAAGGCATTGGTGGGTCTCCCCTTAGAAGAGTCAGGGCTCCCCAGTTATCACGCTGACTTCCAGATAGCAAAAGACAGGGCTTGGCAGGGGGATTGGTACAGTCCTTGGGTCATAAGCTCTGTGTAATTAAGTAAAAGCCACCCGATTGGCTGGTTTTCTTTTTGTCTGGAGGCAAAATTAACCATTCTCCAGCAGAGAAGGGAAAATATGCCGTATAAGTGTTGCTAGGTTGTTACTGGTGTTGGACGTGGATTTGATAAGGAAAAGCAGGCAGGCTTTGAGGCCAAGGGAGGAGGAGTTCCTGAATAACCCTCCTTGTCTTTCGTTTTCCTACCAGGTCTGACCTTGCTTTTAACCTGGAAGGCTACGTCATTGTATTCCTAAATGATATCTTCACGGCAGCAAATGGAGTCTATACCAAGCAGAAAATGGACCCAAAGGTACCGGGTCTTCCCTCCTGTGGCTTTAGGCTTTACTATCTGCCCCCAAGATGATGCGAAAAATGGAAATGGATTTCTACAGTTGGCACATAATTTAATTTATGTAATACGATTGATCAGTCACTCATTTCATCCTAATTATCTGTGTATGTTCTTGTTACTCTTAGTCTTGGAAAATTTGGGGTGAAAATTAGATAGGAGGGGAGAAGTTGTCACTGTGTGAGAGACACAGTCCCAATGTACCGACAACAGCAGAGCACATCATGGCTCTGTCAGCATGGTCATCAGTGACCACGGCAAAGTCCGGGGCGGGACACTTGTTTGGAGAGTGTGGAGTCTGCAGGCCGGACAGACCCCGGCTCTCCCTGGCCATGGTGACTTTGAACCTCAGCTTCTCCAACCTTGGTTTCCTCACCCATGACACGAGTAGCCTGGAAAGGATCCCTGGTGGGTCCTCCAGCAGGACCTGCCTCCTCTGATCCCCAGGGGCCGGCCGGCCGGGAGCTCTCTGGCCTGGGTCTGCCGCAGTGGAGGCCCCAGCTGTTCCAGGAAGCTGTGGAGGATGAGCCGGCCATATGGCTCTTTGTTCCTGGTTCTTTGTGTAGAAGGGGGGAGTTCTCCCTATCAGGCCTTTTTTTTTTTTTTTTTTTAATCTGTATGGCCATTTGTTTCTTTTATTGGTGGCGGTTTTATAAAAACATGTTTGTTGCCTTTTGAAAAACCATAATAGGTCAGCCTTGTTTGGTGGAGAGGTGGTGTGGCCTCTTCTGTGGAAGTGAATACATCAGGGCTCTTCTTCAGTGCAGACGGCAGATGTTTTAAAGGAGTTGTTTATGTTAGCAGTTTTTATCTCCTTTACTGTGTTCCAGATTTCTTTAAAACAGAAAGAAAAGCTCACATAGTCAGAATGTCCAAGGGGGTGGAAACTTGGCCGCCTTTTCATTTCATCATTTTGTCTGTAGTTTTTGGTGTAAAATAAATATTTATTCTGAAACCAAAATACGATTGAAATGAAGCATTTTCTGTTGGGAATTTGTTATAAAATATTCCAGTAAAGAGTCGGTGAGAATACATGTTCTAACGTTGTGTAGATTCGTAGTTGTATAAATAGCTCCAGGAAATTTAATGCTTGTATTCTAAAATTCAGTGGGGTTTTCTTTGTTTTTGTAGGAACTAGGGAAATATGGGGTGCTTTTCTATAATGCCTGCTTCATGATCATTCCAACTCTTATTATTAGTGTCTCCACCGGAGACCTTCAGCAGGTAAGTGGATAAAATGGTCAATACATCTTTCCTTAGCCATCTTAAAATTTCAATATTTAACATTTGGTACTCACTGAAATAAAATGCATACATGTATATCTTATATATAGTATATAGGATCACCACATACACACACACACACACACACACACACATCTCAGATCCATATATAGGATTACCAGGAAGGTACATAAAATGTTATGTCTGGGAGCTGGGCATGGTGTCATGTACCCTGGTCCCAGATACTCTGGAGGCTGAGGTGGGAAGAATAGTTCAAGACCAGCCTGGGAAACAGAATGAGACTCCATTTCAAAAAGAAAATCAAAAGCTGTTTGAGGGCTGTGGTTGTAGCTCAGTGGTAGGCACTGGGTTCGATCCTCAGCACCACATTAAAAAAGAAAAAGGTGTTTGATGTGCCTGGTATTTAACACCCTTAGACACACGGAGGCAGCAGGATCTTGTTGACAGGAACTCAGGACTTGCAAGTTTTTGGAAAACAACAATCAAAATCTGAGTCTGAGTCCCACTGTCCTTCTTTGTTGATGTGGGGACCCTGGGACAACTACTTTCTTGGGAAAGAAATTTTGATAGTTTAAAAATGGGTTTCTTTGTTATTTTTATCATAGACATTTTGAAACATTTGCAAAGTAGGGAGAATAATTCCATGAACTGTCGTCTCTCGGTCCCCAGCTTCTTGGCATTTCGCTGTGCTGATTTTATCTGTTCCCATCCAGCCTCACCTCTTCCCGCTTCTGCAGTATTTTAAAAGAAACCCCAGACATCGTACCATTTGTACATCTAAACATTTCAGGGTCTACCTTTGACTGTTGAAAAGGCATTGTTCTTTCTGAATTTGCCCTGCTTAACTTAGCCACTGCTTGTTCATGAAAGACAGATAAGATGGTCAGTTAGGCCCAATATTTCTGTCTATTCCCAAATGTAAAGCTTCCCGAGTGCCAATTGCGACACCACAAATGGAAAATTCCACACCTGAATCGTTTGTGATGGGTCACAGTAAAAATGTAGGCATACTAAAAATGTTGCATAAAATTACCTTCAGGCTACATGTGATTATGATATATATATAACACACATGTGAATTTCATGTTCAGACCTGGGTTCCATTCCCAAGATGTCTTATCATTTTTTTCACCCATTACATATTAAAAAAAAAGGAAATCGGAAGCACTTCTGGTCCCAAGCATTGCAGATGAGGGATACGCAGCCAGTCGTAAGGTATCAGGCCCAGTGGGAGGGAGAGGAGGACAGGTCTGCCAGGGAATGACCACTCCCCATGTTAAGGGTCATCATGATGGCTTCCAGGGATACATGCCCCAACTCCTCTAAGTTGTAAGCCCCACAGCTTCTGTGAATTTTTTTTTTTTTTTTTTTTTTTTTTGGTACTAGGGATTGAACCCAGGGTTGTTTAACCACTGAGCTACATCCCAGCCTTTTTATAGTTTATTTAGAAACAGGGTCTTGTTGAGTTGCTCAGGACCTCGCCGAGTTGCTGAGGCTGGCTCTGAACCTGTGATCCTCATGCCTCAGCCTCCCAAGCCTGCTGCTGGGATTACAGGCATGCACCACGGCGCTTGGGCAGCTTCTATGAATTTTGCCTGTATTGAGAGGTGTAGGAAATGAGGGGTGACGGGAAAAATCCCATCAGGTTGCCTCTGCTCACTGTCCCCCTTCTGGCCAGGCATTAACCCTCCCTTTGCTGGACTGGGTGGCTGGTTCAGAGGGCTTCCGACAGGACAGTTCTTCTATTGTAACAATGAGCACAGTCATTGAAGTTGATCGTATTTGCAGCCCTTTCAGGCTCTGAAGGACTTTAGGCTGCAGGTCCCTGTGGACTTCTGGGGTAGATGGCCAGGCTCCTTGCTCTTCCTTCAGCTACACAGTTCTTCCCCAGAAGCTGGAAGCTACTGAAGGGCCCAGTAGCCAAATCCCCAGGGGTGAACAGCCATGTCCATGTGTTCATGTCAAAACCCGCCAACAGGCATCAATTTTGATAAAGAGCTCTCTGTTTCAGGTTAGTGGGGACCCTGGGTGAACCCGGGACTCACTGTGAGTTCAGTGTTGGAAGACAGAGCGAGCTCCTCCCCCCAGCATCTCTCCAGCAGACGCAATGTCTGAAAAGACAATATTTTTTTTTTAACCCATCATTAGTCCATTTTAAGCCAAGTCGGTGCCAGTGACCTTACACAAAATTATAAATCTCAACAAAGAAATGAGTTTTTCTGTTGGATCACTGGAATATGTCTGTACTAGAATTCTGGTCTCTTGTAGCTGTTTCAGAGATATATTTAATTCTAGGAATAAAAATGTACAAACTTGAGTTGGGGATATGGCTCAGTGATAAAAGGCTTGCCTGGGTTTGATCCTTTGCATGGGGAAAAAAAAAAGTTTAGAAATTCTTACAAACTCCTAGAATACCTACTTGGGACTAAAAGCATATTTTCCTGTAGGAACAATATGATGAGTGACAAAATGAATATTAGGAACCTTATGGGTAAAACGGCCTGGGAATATAGCTTATAATACCGCTTCTATAGGAACATGTATTCCCACATCCAAATCATTGACTTCTAAACTTGTAGCCTGGGGTTTTCAGAAGCTGCCATAGGCTTGCAATGATTATGCACAATTCTCCTATTTTCTCATGTGATAGTTAATATTTATTGAGGAACTATTATATTAGGTGTGTTTCAAAGCATTGTTCATAAACTATCTCATGACATTCCTAGAACCATCCTGGGGAGAGAAAGTACTGCTGTCAATCCCATTTTATAGCAAGGAATTTAGGGCTTAGTGTTTAAGAAACTTCCAAGAACAGCAGGTGATAGATCTAGGCCCTCTGGCGCTAGAAACACATTCTTTGCTGTATGTAATGGCAGTTATTCTATTTGGATATATAAAGCATTTGCATTTCTTTCCTTCACATCTATCTTATAGAGTGCAAGAGGCCTAACATATTCAAATAGTCTTTGTCTTCTATTTTTCATTAAATTTGATTCATTAATTAATTTTGAGATGGAGTCTTGCTGTGTTGCCCAGAGTGGTCTCAGACTCCTGGGCTCAAATGATCCTCCTGCTTCAGCCTCCCGAGAAGCTGGGACTTCAGGTGTGGGCCTCCGTACTCGACTAGTCCCCGTCTAAACGTGGTTTGATTTTTGTACTTGGCAATAATGTAAAATGAGGCTCATTCAGGAGGAACCATACTTCATTTTTTGTTTTGTTCTTCTGTGCGAGCGCTGGTGTGGTATGAACCTCTGTCCAGATGCCATGGCTGCCAGTCAGCCACACACGTGATCACACACACAAATCAGGGTTTGCTCAGACGATATCGCCCAACTGTTGGCTAAATGTAAGTGCGTGTAGGCCAGGCTAAGCTCTGATTTTCAGTAGATTAGTGTATTAGTGCATTTTTGGCTTATGATATATTCAACTGATGGTGGGTTGATTGGGAAGAAATCCTATGGTAAGTCAAGGAGCAGCTGAAATTTGTTAAATCCTGACATTCAGGAAGAATATTCTCCTTCTATTCTTTCTTGTGTTGGAAAACCCCAGTAATATTTGTTCATGTATTGACCCTGTCTGCCTCTTCCCTTTGACAGACTCTGAAGATTTCAAACAGAACTTCCCTTACCTACCTTAGTGCTTAGTTTTGACTAAAACTCCAAGTGGATCAAAGAGTTCAATTTATAAGCTTAGTATTAATAAAAATTATAAGAGAAATAAATGGAAGACTTTTATAACCAGAAGAGAAGCTCAGTGGTAGAGTGCTTGCCTGTATCCTTAGAACTACATAAAAATAAATAATAAAAATAAAGGTATTGTGTCCATCTACAACTAAAAGCCGGGGTGGGGGGGCTTCTCTAAAATGTCAAATATTTTTAAACTTTTAATTCATATACAAAGTTAAAGTAAAAAATGTGACTATATTTTAATTTTAAAATATCTGATAAGAGATGCCAGAAGATGCAGGATAAGCTTGTGAATTTGTGAGCATCTGGGAGCCTACAATAGAAAGCTCCCCCTTCTCGGCCACGTCTGGGTTAACTGTACTGAAAGCTGAAGGATGGGATAGAACAAAGGTTCTTTTTAATGGAAGGAAAAATTGGTTGAATCATTTTTCCTGGTTAACTGGGAGCAGGAAAGAGGGAGAGGGAGAGGTAGTGGCAAAACTTGCTCGTGACTCACCACCCTGGCGATTCAGTCAGGACTCTGGATTCACATCCTTGGCAGATCTTTTAACAGTATCTTGGTTCTACCTCTGAACAATGAGGTCGGAGATGACAGCTCCTCTTGTTGACATATCAGGCCCTTGGAAAATACTCAGTGGGTGAACTTTGCTTAGCCATGAATCCCTGCAATAGGTCCAAAGTACATCTAGTGTATTGTAGTTGATGAATGAGGGTGAAAAGATAGGACTGTTTTTCCCATTTTAAAAAACCCCCAAGTGCACCCTGAAGAAGATGGTCCCTCCTGAATGAGCCTCACTTTCACATCATTGCCAAGTACAAAAATCAAACCACATTAAGACAGGGACGAGCCAGGTGCGGAGGCACACACCTGAAGTCCCAGCTTCTTGGGAGGCTGAAGCAGGAGGGTCATTTGAGCCCAGGAGTTTGAGACCAGTCTGGGCAATGCTTTGAAACACACCTGATATAAAGCAAGACCCCATCTCAAAATTAAATAATGACTCGAATTTAATGAAAAATAAAAGACAAAGACTATTTGAATATGTTAGGCCTCTTGCACTCTATAAGATATAAGGGTTATTATAGTTTTTACATGTGAAGGAAATACTCCAACATACTTGGACTGCAACAGTAAGTCTAAAGGAAGAACTACTTCATTATTACTCACCTTTAATTATTTCCTGTTTTATTATGCTAGATTATTTCTCAAAATGCTACTAGTACAGCATTATTATTATTATGATGTTATTTTTGTGTACTGGGAATTGAACCCAAGGCTTCATGCATGCCAGACACGTGCTGTACCATGGACCTACTTTCCCAGTCCTTTATTTACTTACTTTTGCGATGCCGGAGATCAAACCCAGGGCCTCAGCCGGGCCTGGTGGCGCACACCTTTAGTCCTAGCAGCTCAGGAGGATTGCAAGTTCAAAGCCAGCCTCAGCAACTTAGGTACTAAAACAACTTAGTAAGACCCTGCCTCAAAATAAAATTCAAAAAGTGCTGGGGATGTTGCTCAGTGGTTAAGGCTCATGGGTTTAATCCCTGTTACCAAAACAAAAACAACCCCCAAACCCTAGGGCCTCACGAATGCTAGGCAAGCACCCTACCAGTGAGCCGCATCCCCGTCCCTTATTTTTATTTTCCTTTGAGACAGGATCTTGTTAAGTTACCCAGGCTGGCCTTGAATTTATTATCCTCCTGCCTTAGCCTCCCAAGTAGCTGGGATTAAAGGCGTGTGCCTCCATGCCCAGTCAGCCTCGTTATAACTAAGGAAGCAATACTGGGGCTCAGTGGTGGAGCACTTGTTTAGCAAGTATGAGGGTTTGATTCTCAGCATCACATATAAATAAGTAAATAAAGGTCCATCAGCAACTAATAAAAATATTTTAAAAAAAAGAAACAAAGCTAAAATTTGTAAAAACTAAATTGGGTGAAGAGTCAATGTACCCAGCACTTCACCCATGCTAAGCACGTACTTTACCACTGAGCTACACCCAGGCTCCCAAAGTATGCATTAAAAAGTTTTGTCTTTTAATGATGGAAACTTTGAAGCACATATAGACGTATAGAGAATAATAAACAAACCCCATGGGCCCATCCCCTGTTTCAACAATTATCAACGTTTAATGTCTATCTTTTCTTTTTGTTTTTATTAAAACATCTTTATGGTGCATTATAATTGAACATGATCGGGATTCCTTGTTACGTATTCCTACAGGCACACAGTACAACAATGTAACTTGGCTAATTCTGTCCCCAGTATTTTCTCTCTCCTTTGTTCCCTCCTCCTCTGGTTCCCTTCCTCCATTCTGCTGGTCTCCCTTCATTTTTATGAGATCCCTCCTTTTCTACCCTTTTCCTACCTAGCTTCCACATATGACCCTTGACTTTCTGAGTGTTTGTGTATCTTTTTGTTAGGAGACGGGGCAGAGTATTACTAATGAATCAATGTCAGCAAAGTATGCAAGGCTGTATGAATTGGAGGAGAGAATTCCCTTTTAATTGTTTAAAAATTTGAATAACAATTTGAAAACCTATTTAAATAGTTTTAAATGATTCAGTTGCTAAAACTTGGCTAGCAAAGTATTGCTTAGTAGAAAGAGAATAAAACTTTGATCTAAGCATGTTATTGAGCACATTGCTTAAATGGTCTTGAGTCGCCTTAAAATCAGTTTTGAGCCGGATGCAGTGGCGCATCTCAGTGTCATGGGAGGCTGATGCAGGAGGATCACAAGTTCAAAGCCAGCCTCAGCAAATTTGGGAAGTCCTGAGCAACTTAGCAAGACCCTGCCTCAAACTAAAAATGAAAGGGGCTGAGAATGTGGCTCAGTGGTTAAGTGCTCCTGGGTTCAATACCTGCTACCAAAAAGAAGGAGGAGGAGGAGGAGGGGGAGGGGGAGGGGGAGGGAGAGGGGAAGGAGAGAGAGGGGGAGGGGGAGAAGGAGGGGGAGGGGGGAAGGAGAGGGAGAGGGGGAGGGGAGGAAACAAATCAGTTTTGGATGCAGGCAAGAGAAAAATCATAAATAAAATACTCCTTTTTATTGTTACCTGTCATTTCTACAGGGTTTGTTTAAACTTGTCTATCATATTCTTCACCCTCCATTATTTGATTGCTATGTAAATAGCAAATACTAGCTCATTTGTCCATGATGTAAATTCTTGAAAACAGTCTGTGAACTTGAACTGTCCTTGCCAATGTTACTGATTTTTTTTGAGCTTATCACCTGCGAAGTTCAGCTTCACTTCAACTTCACATCAGCCTGTGCAGGAAGGTTTTTTTCCCCCCCCCCGATTTCCCATTTTGTACAATGAACCTGAGATTCGGGGAGGGAAGTAAATTTGTCCATTGTCACATAACTTGTGTGACCTAGGACTTTGAAAATTGGATTTTGTTTTTGGAAAGATGGGTTTTGTACCCAGACTCACAGTCTGGGCAAAGCAACAGATTTGAACTGCAATGTCATTAATCTAATCACTTGTTCCTTTTCTTTTTAATAATAGGCTACTGAGTTCAACCAGTGGAAGAATGTCCTGTTTGTCATGCAGTTTCTTCTTTCCTGTTTTTTGGGGTAAGAAACCATAGATAAGAAGATGTATTGGTCAGTAGTCTCTTGACAAGTCAAATATTGTCTCTCCTGATCTGTCCAAGTCCCTTTGTCCAGGTTTGTCTACATTTCTCTAGAAAGTCCATTCTGCTCCCCATTTCCACAGGTTTTGCATTTGCAGATTCAACGAAAAGTGCATAGAAAATACTCAGAAAGAATTGAATCTATACTGAGCCTGACCAACTTTTAATTTTTGTCATTATTTTCTAGGCAATTCAGTTTAATAAGTATTCACATTGAGTTTCATTGTCTTAGGCATTATTAGTGACCTAGAGATATTTTAAAGTACAGAAGGATGGGCACAGGTTTTATAACAACGTTGCACCATTTTTCTTAAGGGACTTAGCATCTGTGGATATTGGTGTCCACAGGAGTCTTGGAACCAATGCCCTACGGATAGGAGGGATCCTGCAGCAAAGGGGTTGACCTTGATCCAGGACACTGAGAGCTCAGCCCAATAGGTCAGAAGCAAGCATGAAACTGTTTCGACTTTGAAAGTGATGCTAATATCACATTGTACTCCAAAATATGACATTGCCTATTGATTTTTGAAAGTTCATCTGAAAAAAAAGTCAGCTGACATCTGAGTTCAGTGCCAGGTTTTTGTCTTTGTCACCATGACCTTAGTTTCCCAAGATTCATTCCTAACATAAATATATAGCAATGACAACCTTTTCCCCTAGTGCTGTAGTTGCAGTACTCAGAGAAGTTTCTGAGGAGATATGTCCAGGCTGCAGGGTCATTCAATAATTAGGGTTTTGTTATTGAAATGTCTTTATCTGTTGAGAGCTCTTGTGCCCTTTTTGATCTTCTAAAAACTTGGAAAATTCCTTTGCATGAGTAGTAAAGTAAGTTATTAGTAAATAATTCAATTAGTGCAAAAGAATAAATAGGAAACATCAGCTCTACCCCTTATTTCCCTCTCTAGCACTGTAGTTTTCCTCTCGAGAGAAGTAAGCCGGGCCCCACTAGTACACAGGAACCCAAGTCTTAACCCATATTGAAAGGGTCTTTCAATTACTGTCTCAGGGATTACTCATCAAAAGATTTTTTCCTATGGAAAAAGATAAATATGCCCCTTTTCATTATGTGTAAATGGACTAAGACAATTCATGATTTCTTTGATCAGCATTTTAATTCTCAAACTTGACTGTAATTATCTCTAGTATAGTTGTATGAGAAGCGTTCATGTGTATCTTCCATTCATTAATTCTCTCTTTAACTGTGTCTAATTTAATGTTTATCCTGTTATTGAAATTTTTAAGTGTTTTATATTCTATTTATACAAGTGCCACAGATTTTTTTTCTTAACTTATCTATTCATTCATAACATTATTTCACTAGTGATCTTTGTGATTATATCTTTTATTTCTTGAAATGTTATACACATAGTTATTTTATATTCTGTGTTCGATGATTCCAATATCTGGAGTTCTGGGTTGGGTCTTCTCCTCCCCATTTTTTAATTGGTGCATTATTGTTGTACATACTGATGGGATTTGTTCTTACTTAGCTGTTCATGCACACACAACACAATATAACAATATAATTTGGCCAATATCATTCCCTAGCATTTCCCCCTCCCCCGCCACCTCCTGCCCCTTGGTCTCTTTCTTCTTTGATTATCATGAGGCCCATTCCCCATCTTTCTTTTTTTTTCCTCTTTAGCTTCTGCATATGAGAGAAAACATGACCCTTAACCTTCTGAGTTTGACTTATTTTGCTTAATATAATGGTCTCTAGTCCTACCCATGTTCCTGCAAATGACATAATTTTATTTTTCTTTATGGTTGAATAAAACTCCTTTGTGTATGTATACCATTCATCTACTGATGGACACCTAATCTGGATCCATAGTTCGGCTATTGTGAATTGTGGTGCTTTGAACGTGGTTATGCATGCCTTGCTATGTATGCTTACTTTAATTCTTCAGGATACATACTGAGGAGTGGTATAGCTGGCTCATATAGTGGTTCCATTCCTAACCTTCTGAGTAACCTCCATACCAATTTCCACAGTGGTTGTACTAATTTATAGTCTCACCAACAGTATAAAAGTGTTTCTCTTTCTTTATATATTCTCCAACATTTCTTATTATTTATATTTTTGATGACTGCTATTCTGACTGATATGAGATGAAATCTCAGTGCAGTTTTTAGATTTGCATTTCCCTAATTGCTAATGATGTTGAACACTTTTTCATATATTTGTTGGCCATTTGTATTTCTTATTTTGATAGGTGACTATTAAATTTGCCAATTTATTTGATTTTTTGGTGTAAATTTTCTTTATATATTCTAGATACTAATCTTCTGTCAGAAGAGTAGCTAGCAAAGATTTTCTCCCATTCTGAATGTTCTCTCTTCACAATTTTTAATGTTTCCTTTGCTGTACAGAAGCTTTTTAATTTGATGCCATCCCACTTATTAACTTGGCATTATTTCCTGAGTTTTAGGGGTCCTATTAAGAAATTTGTTGCCTGTGCCTATATGTTGGAATGTTGATCCTATATTTTATTCTGGGAGTTGCATAGTTTCTGATCTGATTTCTAGGTCTTTGATTCATTTTGAGCTGACTTTTCTGTAAGGTGAGAAATAATGGTCTAGTTTCATTCATCTCCATGGGAATAACCAGTTTTCCCAGTGCCATTTGTTAGAAAGGCTGTCTGTTCTCCAGTGTATGCTTTTGCCACCTTTGTCAAGGATCAGATGAATGTAGGTGTCTGGGTTTATCTCTTAACTTCTATTCTGCACCATTAGTCTCTGTTTTTAGACCAGTACCATGTAGTCTTTGTTACTGTAGCTCTGTAGTATAATTTCAAGTCAGGGATTGGGATGCCTCCAGCATTGCTTTTTTGGTTTAGAATGACTTTGGCTATTCTGGGTCTTTTATTCTTCCAAATGAGTTTTAGGACTATTTTTTTCTAGTTCTGTGAGGAATGTCATTGGTATTTTGATGGGAATTATATTGAATTTGCATATTGCCTGTGGTGATACGGCCATGTTAATAATATTAATTCTGCCTATCCACAAACACGGGAGGGCTTTCCGTCTTCCTGTGTCTTCTTCAATTTATTTTTTCTCTGTTTTATAGTTTTCATTGTAGAGGTCATTCACCTCCTTGGTTAGATTTACTCCTAGGTTTTGTTTGTTTGTTTGTTTGTTTGTTTGTTTGTTTTTGTTTTGAGACTATTGTGAATGGAATTGTTTTCCTGGTTTCTTTCTTTCTCAGCAGATTCATTGCTGGTATATAGGAAAGCTATTGATTTTTGTATGTTGATTTTGTAACCTGCTACTTTGCCAAAATTGTTTGTTATTTCTAGCAGTCTTTTGGTGTAGTTCTTTGGGTCTTCTAGGTATACTTTCCATTTTTAAATCTCTTTTATTCCCTTGTCTTGCCTAACTGCTGGGGCTAGAATTTCTAGCACTATGTTAAATAGGAGTGGTAACGGGGGACATCCTTGTCTTGACCTGATTTTAAAGGAAAAACTTTCAGTGTTCTCCCATTTACTAGGAGGTTTGCTGTGGGTTTTCTATATGTCGTCTTTATGATGTTATGCTAGGTTCCTTTTATCCCTAGTTTCTTCAGTGTTTTTATTATGAATGGGTTTCGAATTTTGTCAAAGGCCTTTTCTGCATCTGTTGAGATTACTAAGTGATTCTTGTCCTGAATTCTGTTAATGTGATGAGTTATATTTATTGATTTGTGTATATTAAACCATCCTTGCATCTATGGAATAAAACTGAGCCATGGTATATACTTTTAATATGTTGTTGAACTCAATTTGCTAACATATTATTAAGAATTTTTGCATCTAAGTCCCTCAGGGATATCGGTCTGTAGTTTTTCTTTCCTTGATGTGACCTTGTCTGGTTTTGTATGAGTGTGATACTGGCTTCACAGAATAAATACCTTCAGTTCTTGGGAAACTCAGTATGAGTTTTCCTCTTAGGTAACTGTCATTGTTGTTTGCTTTCCTGTGTTTGGCGACCTGCAATTGTGAGCATATTGCTTTATCTTAATCAGTCCTGTGTCCTGGAATTGGAAACTAGAGAAACTTTCCTACAGGGACAAGCTGATTTTGCTTCTTCTGGTAGCCAGGGGTTGCCTTGGACTCGCCTGAGTCCACTATGTTTGAGGGCCTGGCTCTGTGGCCCTCCCCACCTGGGTTTGGACCTGGTGTCGGGTCCCAGATGGAGCTATTCCACCATGGTCCCCACCTTAAGGTCCCCACCTTAAGGTCGTCATCTTGTTCCTACTGTCTGCTTTATAATGAGGTGACTCTTTCAAGACCGACAATATCTTAAAGAATGTGTCCTTTCCAGACATTGATTTTCGGTAGTGGGAAGGTCCTTAGGTACTTAGCCATTGCTGGAAGCATCAGTTGAGTTAAATATTTGTAGATTTCCCTGTTGTTGATGGAGAACATTTAACCTAGGGAGGAAAAAAAAAGCCACATTTGTGAGCCACCCTTTGTCAAGCCATCTCCCTCTCTGTGTTTTTCCTCTTTGATGAAAAAACAAAACAAAACAAACAGACAAACCAAAAAACCCAAGTCATACACATAAACTCAGCCCAGCTTCTTTCCCTGCTGAGGATTCAGTCTTTCTCATTTCATCATGAACGTGATAAGAATCTGCTTTTGTTGTCTGCCTGGCCCTTTACCATCCAATCACAGCATGTTAATCAGCTTTTCGTTGCTGGGACCAAATACCCAACAAGGACAACTTAGAGGAGGAGAAATGTATTTTGGTCTCCGAGGTTCAGTCCATGGGGGTGCATTGCTCTGGACCCAAGGTGAAGTAGAACATCATGGCGGAAGGTGGTGGAGGAGGACCTCTGCTCGGTTCATGGCATCAAGGAAGCTGGGTGGGGGGGAAGCTGACCCCTCCAGGCCATGCCCCTGTGACCTACCTCCTCCAGCCACACCTCACCTGCCTACAGTGACCACTCAGTCCAATCAG